CACACAGAACTGATCCACTGCTCTACCCAGTTACTTTATAGATTTTATTTATTTATTTAACGAAAATATTAAGTTCTATACAAGCTCCTGTGATACACCTGAAAGCTACTTGAGGAGTTCTCTCTCTGTACTTCAGGGTAAATCTTGAAAGACAAAGAAACATGATGGAGGATTACTCTGTGCCACTTACCACCGCTGCTATAATCCAAGTATTATGGGACTGGGTCAGCACGAGAAAATTGAGCCTGGAAGTTTTGGCAGATTCTAAATTACTGAACTTGAACCGGTGCAGAGAGTGCTTCCTTGTCCTAATGCAGTACTGGAAGAAGAATGAGGGTGGAATCACAGATCAGACTGGTGGAACAATTAATTACACCAATATTAGCTCTTGGTAACCACAGTTCTCCATTCTTGACCCCTAATGTATCAGATCCCTTCACAGTTGGAAGGCTCCACCAAGTACAAAAGAAAAAAAGAGAAAAAGGGGGGTACAGAGAAACAACTACATTTTAAGCTTAAAAAATAATCTTACACAGGAAGCACCACTACCCTTTGCACAGTGGGACAATTATTTGCACCATAGCTGCTTGTTAGGAACTAACTTGAAGAAAATTTTGCAGACCTTTGTTGACAAAGATCTTCTTTCATGTTTTGCCAAGACAACTTAGTTGCTATTTGAATGTGAAAGAGATCTACCATTAGATATCAAAAATGTAGCCTCAGTTGCTACCACAAGGGTTAAGAAATGATTCTGTGTAAGGTGGTCTCTCACTTCCTCAGGAAATTCAGCAACAGACCCGCTGAAGTGGCTCGTAGCCTTTCCCAAGGCCATTAGTGTATCTGCCAGTTTTAGTAAATGTTTCAACTTCTGTATCTAAAGCAATAGAAGGAAAAGCATTAGGGTTTATTTGTTCCAGTTTAGTAACAAGTTACCTCAAACTGAGAAAGTGTGATGATGGTGTTTTTTGTGCTCTCTGCACATACCAACCTACTTAAGGCAGACTGTTTTTTACCTTTACTTGATCAAAGTGTTGTATTTACAAATACAAGTGTATGAAACAGAGAAAAACATTCCTCTGCTGAACCTAACAGTCCCTACCTGTCCATGTACAGATGCAGTGCTACCTGAAAGATTTTATACAGAAGTAAAATGTCAGCAAGCAAGAAATTGTCTTCAAGTCCTGCAGGTGAGGCGGCTTAAGTGCATTTCGTGCACTCCTTTATGCTGCTGTTTAAAAGGCAAGGGCAGTGACTGTGAGAATGAGGGAAATTCACTTGCATCATTTGCGCAGCCAAAAAAAAAAAATTGCTTTTGTAGAAAGCAATAGAAAACGTTTAGCCCAGATTGTTTTTCTTCTCTGGTTATTCACATTAGTTCTACAGGACTGCAGCAGCTAAGGAGACTGACAGTAAAGGGTGGTAGTGGTGTTAAGTCTTCCTGACCTGTTGTTACTTTGCGAAGCCCTGCAGAGAAGGTGTTTTCCCAAAAAGCATTCTCTAGCTGCCTGGGCCTCACCATGCCCACATCATGCAGTACTACAGTCAAAAATGCTTCGCTGAGTACTGCAATACCAAGTCTTAACATCAGTACAGATTTGAAGTATAGTTACATAGGACAAATGACTAAACAAGTCTTAATAAACTTCACCTCATGTGCATTGTCCATACACACAACCCCTCCTGAAAGGTATTCTGTCTCCACATGTAAACCAGTATGTCTCTTAACTGTTGTCATTGGGTGCAAATTTTCCATTACATACACAGTCTCAGACTAGCCTGGGTAGCAGCTGTTGTGAACTTCTTGTGGCCACTTCTTGGAAGCATTTGGGAACACAGCATATTTAAGAACAAATGTTATCTTGCATTCTCTAGGCTACGCCTAGAATTGAGGCTATACATAAACCTTGATAAACGCCAGGTTTGTCTAAAGTCAGTATTTAAATATTCCCTGCAGTTCATTCTGAACTTCAGCTTCTTGTGTACTAGTAGCACAGAGTATTATCAAGTTTGTTTTTTTTAATTAGGTTGACTTGTTTTCACTTTGTTGCAAGAGTGTAGTATTTGTTCAGAGCTCTGACTACACTAATAATTCACCTAGGACTAAAAGTACAAAAACGTCTAGAGAAAGGTATGTATGTTTCAGTAGCTGTGTTTGGAGAAACAGTGTAAAAATTACTTTGGCTAATTAATTTCATATATAGAACCTGGAGCTTAAAGAAACAGTGTTCCTAAATCCATTGACAACAAAGCAGAGATGAGGCTTCCATTCCTGGGGAGAATGCAAACCACAAAAGTTAAAAAAAAAGTGCTAATCCAGAGATCTTTGCCCAAGTGATCTCAGTTAAAAAACCCCAACCAACCAACAAACCAACCAACCAACCAAAAAAACCCCACCCACAAATGAGGAAACAGCTGCAAATTACCTTGTCCTTTTCAGGACTGCCAGTTTTAGAGATGGCCAATTAAGTCCAGCAATTATTCATACATTTCAGACATCTACAAGTATGTCCAGGACAGTAAGAATTACCACTTTCACCTGTTCTTCAAGTTGACTGCCTTACATCACTGAACATGAAGCATAAAATGAGCCATGTAATGCAATGCTGCTGCCACTGATAACTTTATATGGACTTGTGCCAAGTAGGATATTTAGGCCAACAGATCTATCTGCTGGAAACAACAATCTCCAAGATAAGTATTGCAACACTCCTTCAGCTTCCAGACACCATATTTGCTGAACTGCTCTCTAGCCAGTGAATACAAGTTTTCAAGCCTTGACAATTACAGGCCACAAATACCATAAACTGCAGTAAGTAGCCACCTCTCTCTCTCACTTCCTTTTATCCTAATTCCCTGTGCCTGAATGCCTCCCTCAACCTGCACTGCAACTGCCCATGCTTTTGCATCTGGCTGCCCCACTGTTCTGGTACACTGCTTTCCATAACTCACACAGAATGATCCAGGCTGGAAAAGACCTCTGAGATCAAATCCAACCTTTGACCAATCACCACGGCAGCAGTAAGTGCCACATTGGAACACACCACCTCCCTGGGCAGGGAATCCATTCCAACGTGTGACCCTTTCTGTCAAGAGATCCCTCCTAATGTCTGACCTGAACCTCCCCTGGCACAGCTTGAGGCCATGGTCCTCTTGTTCCATCACTTCCAGGAAGAGACTGACCCCCACTGCTCTACAGCTTCAGGCCGTTGTAGAGTGATGCAGTCTCCCGGAGCCTCCTTTTCTCCAGGCTAAACCCTCTCAGCTCCCTGAGATTCCACACAGGACTTGTGCTCAAGACCCTTCCCCAGCTCCACTGCCCTTCTCAGGACATACTCCAGCACCTCAATGTCTTCCTTGAACTCAGGAGCTCAAAACTGTGGCCTCAACAGTGCTGAGCACAGGGGATCAATCGCTGATCTTGCTGTCCACACCATCCTTGATCCAAGCCAGTCTGCCATCGGCCTTCTTGGCTGGGCTCACTCCTAGCTCAGGTTCAGCCAGCTTATGGACCACCATTCCCAGGTGCTTTTCTGCCAGGCAGCTTTCCAGCCACTTTGCCCCCAGCCTGTAGCACTGTCTGGAGCTGCTGTGACCCAAGTGCAGGACTTGGCACTTCACCTTGTTTAACCTCATTGATCCAGCCTGCCCAGATCCCCCTGTAGAACCTTCCTATCCTCCTGCAGATCACACTCCCACCCAACTTGCCATCATTTGCGAGCTTGCTGAGGGTGCACTCAATCCCTTCATACAGACCCCTGAGAAAAGATAGGGAAGTGCTGAGCCCTGGGGAACCTTCTGTGACCAGCCAACAGCTGGATGTGGCACCATTCCCCACCACCCTCCGGGACCAGATATCCATACTGTTTTTCATTCAGTGAAGAGCGCTCCAATCCAAACCATGGGACTGCCAGCTTTTCCAGGAGATTGCCATGGGAGACAGTATCTATCCAAGGTATTGCTGCAGTCCAGACAAGACCCACAGCCTTTCCCTCATCCACTAAGTGAGTCACCAGGTCACAGATCGGGTTGGTCAGGCAGGACCCACCTTTCCTAAACCATGCTGTTAGGGCCTGATCCCTTGGTTGTCCTGAGTTGGCACCCAAGATACCTGCTCCACAACCACCCTGGGAACCAAGGCCTGTAGTTCCCTAGATCCTCCTTCCAGCCCTTCTTGTACCTGGGTGTCACACTGGGTAACCATGTTTTGAAAGAACAAAACCAAAATTAGATATACCAACAGTTTCTTGTCTTGCGATATTGAGACCTTGCTTTAAAGAAAATAATTTTCTTAGTATTTCCTAATTTGTCTGGATCACCAATAATTAACCGGTAAATTCATCAGAGTTGAAAGATTTAACATCACTGTTTCAGCTACTCTGCTTTCAATTTACTAAGAATTTTCAACTGCCACTTATGGATAAGACATCCTGGATTCACAAGTATAAGTATAGAGCAGTGACCAGTTAGAACTTGTTCTGTCACCAATTTCTCCTGGCATATTCTATCAAGCTTTTAAGATGTGTGATGGTGTTTTTTTTAACTACTTAATAGTTTCTGGAACCAAGACTAAGAAATAGCTAATGCAATTACATTTCATATACTTACCCTCTTAAAACCATGACAAACTCTTCTGGTGGCCTTCCCTGACAATCAGGATGGAAATTTGCTGCAAGGGCTTTGTGGTCTTATTCCTTTTGCTGTGACAACATCAACATTCAACCAGCCACTTGCCAGAAAGCTAAACAAAGTCAGTAGTGTTTCTCTCATTCAACCATCTCACCACAACTCCAGCAAGTGACAAGGATAGCACAAGAGAAAGCTGGACTACCCACCCTGCTTAGCCATCCCACATAACCACATACTGATTCTTGGGGAAGATGAGGCTCCTGAAAAGATAGGTAAAAGCTGACTTTATCATCCACACCCCAGTAACCAAGTATGGTTTAACCCATATTCCAAAGTGACACAAAATGCAGAATGAAAGACAAGAAACCACATTATCAGTGGACTTAACTTTTATTGAGGGGAAAAAAAAGGTTTACATGTAGCTGTAGGTTTTTCCATCCATACTTCCAAAAGTTCAAAAAGGACTGGAAACAAAACTTGCTCCATCATTATTTCAATACCAAAAAGTTTGTGACTTTTTCTTTCATGAACAGCAAATTATATAACTAATTGCTATGTTCAATAAATATTTTTTCTTCTGCACCAATTAAGGGGAAATACTCAGCCAAGTACCACAGAGACCCCAGGAATTAAACAATTTTAATTTCAACTGTTATCCACTGTGTAGCAATCCAGAAACTTTTTCTATAAAACACACAGCCTTAATTTTGAGTGTACAAGGATCTATTCTCCCAGTCAAATACCAAATTCTGATCTAGCTCAAATAGTCTACTCTCAAAGCAATTACATGACACATTAAAAAAAACAAAACCAACCAAAAAACCCCCCAAAAACAAAAAAAACCCCAATCCTCTGGTTCATGACTATCTAAGCAAATTTATCATTACAGAAAAGGCTCAAAGTCATTACTTGTTTATCAAAGTAATAGGTAAACATTTTAACAGAAAGATTAACAAGTTACTTGGAAATGCAGGTTTATGTTAAAGTATCCGAGTGTGTATACTACATATGACATGCAAGCTTTAAAAATATCAACGCTCTCTTCTGATTAGTCAGGAGTCCAACTGTTGTAAAAACGAAATAGGAATGACTTCCAAAATGTATCAGCACTTTGGGTTTCTCTATTTCATTTTACTCAAGATGTTTTACTACACAAAAACTACAACAATTACAATATTTAAGAGTATTACAATAAGAAGGGATGGAAAATAGGAATACTTCAACTGAAAATATGTATATTCTAAATGAACCAAAGACTTGTGAAAGAGCCGGAAGGAGAACAAGAAAGGGAAGATGGAAGGGAAAGCAGTAGGGATGCTAAAGATCTGAACTTTGTATTTAAAAATCAAGTCCTCAACTGTAACTCTTCTAATCTTCAGTAGCGCCCTGGAAAAAACAAAAGATGACACAATTACTAATTACACAATCATAAACTAACTGTACACATTATTTCAGCTTAACTGTGCCCAGCTTTTTTTGCTTTCACATTCAGAATTCCCACTGATCAATTCATATAACAATGTTTATGTCAGCCAGACTGTTTATTCACTTGTATTTACTTACTTGGACTATAGGAACGGGATCTTGATCGCGATCGGTATCGACTATAATAAGGCGATGGTGATCGTCTCCTTTAAAGGAAATTAAAAAAGAAACCAAACAACTTCCATTATGAAAGAACCCTTATTCACATCACTTCTACAGAACAGAACCACTTCCTTAGCACTGAAAGACTTGGCCTGCATGAATGATTTCTGCTTTATTTGGCTGTGGCTTACGGTTATTTAACAAATGCTTTCATATTTCTCTATTTGATGTATTTAAACTCTAAGATATTCCCAGACAAAGAATTTAATAAACTCTCACTAGCCTTACATGAAATGCTTTTCCAGATGCCTACAATTCTTGCTGAACAACATTCTCTGAAACCAGATAACTTTCTAAACAGCAAGATGGTTATGAAATGTCAAGCATTAAAAATCCCATCTACAAATAATCCCTTTTTAAACAGCAGTGTGTATCAGCTGTCCCTGGTTCTATATACAGCATAGAAAAATGAGTTCCCTTTTTATCTGTCCACTTGATTCCTGGGGTACATGCTCTACACCTCCTTCACGTAGCAAAATTAACCCCCTGCCCAACAGAAAAACCAAATTCCATAAACACTGAAGATTCTGACTACTTTAATCCCACAAAACATATGTGAATGAGGCTCTAACACATAACAGGCGTGAATGCAGAATATTACTATAAACTGAATAATGTGTTTTGTCATCCAACTTTTCAACAAATCACCAAACCCACTGTTAAAGAAATAAAATAAAGATTAGGTACCTGTATCTGTAGTCATATTCTTCATATCTGTCATATCCTCTGTCATATCCCCTGTCATAATATGAGTCCCGGCGACGACCTGCTCCACCGCCACCACCTCCTCCACTGCTATTAGGGGAAAAGATAAAACAAAAACAAAAACCCCTTTATATATCTAGTCTTCACCTTGATTTAAATTATTAGATAAATTATTACAAATTATTTAAAATATTTTTAAAGTGGTCGGGCAGTAAATCAGACACTGGAAGACTATACCACAAAAATATACAAACAAAATATTTAAATAAAAACACCTGCAAAAACTCCCAGAAAAACAACGGATCTGACTAATTCCCATCAAAATCAAAGGCAAATGGCCACCTTAGTATTTCAGCAGGCTAAGGATACATCAATTGATGATGCTAGATATTATTTTTTAATAACAGGTCCTTCAATATTTTTATAAATAAAGATACAATAAACTACAGTAGTATTTAAGAGTGTATGTGAACCACAGTACTGCATTCTTTATATTAGTAATTTCTTCAACCAGAATCCAGCATTCAGTTTAATCCTATTGAACTTACTGTGTTGGCCTGCCCATGTAGATGCCTGGGGTGGGTGTATGTGCTCTCTTGGTGATTGAGTAATCCACTCGAATCCTCCTGCCATCCAGCTCCATTCCATTTGCATGCTCCATTGCCTGCAGGAGAGACAAGGAACAGGGATGTGAAATCTGCAACCTACTGGTAACTATGGAAGGCAATGTAGAAACACATTATTTTCCAGCAAAATACAAGCCCAGAACCTGTCTTGTTTAGACTGGTTACTAGTGCCCCACTGTGGCGACTGGCTCATCTCTTGTCCCCATGCCTGTCTGCTGACGGTTACAGGACTGCACTGGGGTGCCGAACTCATGCGACTCTCAATCCCTTCTTAAGGGAGCACAGGCTAACCACTAACACAGCCACTCTCCCTAGACTTTATCTTCTACCCATCTGAAAGGTAAATTCAAAGTCAAAACAGCATTTTTCTGAAAACTGCATCTTTCCTACCGCCGTCTCTGACCCAGAGGGGACGGGCGGATTCAAAAGCTGTGCAAAACAGTGGCTTCCTGTAGGGTGCATATGGCCGGATTACTGCTCGTCGGCTGCCATTTCATGCTCTCCCAGCCTCCTGCCATCTCCCTTACAAGGACCTACTTCAGCAGAGCTTAGTAAAATGGCGGGTTCAGCCTACATGGATACCTAATTACAACCTTCCTCCCCACTCCCTCTCACAATAGCAGCTCGCTTAAGTGATACACACAAGGGTCTGCGCTCAGACGCCGGTGCCCTCAGAACCGCCCGCAGCCCCTGCACACACTCGCTGGGTGTTCCAGCCCCAGCTTCTTCACTCTGAGAATCAATACAATGGCCTTTCACAAACTCAAACCATCAAAGGAAGTTTTTCAAAGGAGCACAGCGTACTTTTGAGAATTTTATTCAGGCAAAAGTAACCTAAAAACACAAACCCCAACAAACAACAAATCCACAACAGTTAATTTTAACAGCTAATGATGACTTGAAAGGATTTTTAAAATTCTGCTTTTTGAATTTTAATAGATTTTGTTAGTTTCTACAGGATCTCTGAAATACCAGTACACACCTCTTACTTCTCAACACTAAGCACAGCACTTAGTCCAATACACATGATTTTAGTTTTTCATGTGTGGAGAAGACACACTGTTACAATCTTGAGTAAAGAACATAACCACTTCGCAATTTTTTTATCTGAAAAAACAACGACCAACCTCAAAACATGAAGCTGCCTCTTAAGCACAGAATTTTTTTTTTGTTGGATACTTAAACATTTATTCAAAAATCTCAACTCTCACAAGAGCCTTACTGAACTTACATACATGCCATAAAGGAGATAGAGAAACCTGACATCAACATATTTTAACTGCTGTGCCCAAACTGGAAGTGACTGATGATCACTAATGCATTTATCAAGATTGAATTTGTATTTTAATAATGCTGTTTGTGTCCATACTATATCGCCATCTAGTGATTTGTGTTCCTGTACAAAACTAACTACATTTAGCCAACTGCAAGGCATAGCAAAGAGCATTCCAAGTCCTTCAACATACACTAAGGTATATTTTGTGGCTAAAACACACTCCTCATCTTTAGCTTTCTAGCCTGAACACCTTTTTTTTTCCCATAAGGACGACGTAAATTAAAATAAATCTGTGCATGCATCCTAGAAAAGTATGCGTGCACAAACCTAACAATGAAGGCTGCAAATGTCTGGCTGAAAAATTACCTTTATGATGAAAAGCATCTTTCTGGAAATGCAGCAAGTTAACTTTTAAGAAATTTTCTGCTGCATGGCATTTTTAAGTCCAGTCAACAACTTGCAGAATAGTAAGCTTAGCTGACAAGAAGCCACCCCAAATCCAGAACATCTGGCATGTCTTTTTTAGTTAAGCCAACAAACACCTCTTCAAGAGGAAGAGTTCTCTGACAGGGGGAGCAGTACAGAGAAGAGCAACATACCAGCAAGAGAAATGAAGAATTAAATTTGAGAGTTGCCTGTTTGTTTTAGAAATACCAGGAAATATGTTACATTTCAGTGGATAAAGATTAGTTCACGGTTACCAGACTGCACAGAACTCCTGACACCCTGGTCATAATGTCTAATGTCCTAACAAATATTAAAACATTAATTTTCTTACGGTTCAGCAGCTGTCAGAAATAACTGCCAACTAAAAAAATTTAAAATAAAGAAAATCTTTAAAAGATAGACAAAAACAATAAAGCCTCTTAAAAGTCTGACAGCATCCCTAAACACAGGAAAGCCAAAACCTACAACAATTAATAGTATGGATCACTCACACTCAGTAATTAGCAACTGGAAATTCCTTCTAAAGGGGTTCCCAGATTCTCTGCACCACTCTCAATGTGCACACCTCAGCTCTTTGAAGTAAAGTACTTAAGCTGACATTATAAGGTAAGAACTGCTGCAAGATGACCAAAAGACCTCTCCGAAAAACTGTGTTCATGTAACTGATACAACAGCATTTATTTTGTATGAAGGCTGTAAAAATATATTAGTGATCCTAATCACTGGCATTTCTGTGCTTTATTGAAAGTTAAAGGAGTTTACAAGAAAATTTTGGATATTACAGTCTTCTTGTATGTCATATTCAAAACAAATTTCAGTTTCCTTTTCTTGCTGGTTTTGGGTGTGCATGACTGCTGTGTTAAGACTATTTGAGTGTCAAAGAGAAAAAACTGCATATTCTTTCTAACAATGCTGAAGACATTCTCAAATACTGTTTAAGATGACAAAATGAAACTTTTAAAAGAAAAACCCAAATATTATTTGATTTTTAAGACACACAATGCCCTCTTAGGAGTCTGTCACCAATCTATTTTTATTACAACCTGGATTCTTCTCCAAATATCTGAATGTTAAAAGACTTGTATGGTTTTTGCAAGAGGGCAGTAAGCAAGAAAACAGCATTCCTATAAACATGTATTAATTCCGGTAGCAAATTCTATGGAAAACTTGGTTTTTGTAGGCTAGAATACACATCTATATGTCTGCAGTCAGAAAATAAAACTAGGACTGGGAATGGCATAGGTTCAATCTTGGATTACATTTTTAAAGTTTTACAGTTTTAAACCTTCAGCAGACTATCCATAACAAGAGAACTGATTATCTGTAAGATGGTGGTTTGACAAAATGAGCAGTTCCTGAACTACAGTAGCATCTCCAGTGGCTCAAAGACAGAAAGCATTAAATTTAACAAAGATTTCAATGTAATTTGATATTTAATAAAGTATGTGATGTTTTCTACATGTATGACCAGTTAAGGTAGAGTAAAACAAGTTTGGAAACACAACTTTTAATAAAATGCACAAACTTACAGGGGTGGCTGGTATTAGTTAAGCAATCAATAACCCACTAAAAAAATTAAATACTTTCAGTCTGGGTAACTATTTCAATAACTTGACATCACTACAAAGTTAGCAAAATACAGACTGAGTACACTTATGTAGTCAAACATGAGCAGCTTATATTGTGACTTATTTTGAAAATGTGTTTTCACAATTTAAAAATAACACAAGGTACTGCCTTTTATTTTGTTCCCCTCACTGTAGCTTTGGGGGTTTGTTTTTTTTACCAGAAGTTCTTCTCTATTGCATTTAATGCCACTGATAAAAACATCACCTCTACTCTATCACAGGTACAGCAAGGGATGAAAGACACAATGGATTAGATTCCTCCCTCCAGTGTATCGATTAGCCATTCAGTTCTGGATTTACTCAGAACAACTGAAAGAAAATTCTAAAAAAAAAAAAAAAAAAAAATCTGATGGAATTAATGGAATTAATAAATAAATTAAGAAACTCATCTTTTTACATCTGCTGTAGTCTGTCAAGTTCAATTCAAGTGTCCATTTCACTTTTGAACAATACTCCCATTTCCATTCTCTAGTTTGAGATTTCAACTTTTAAACATATACAATTATGAGATTAAAAACACTGACAGATTTAATGTATTACCTTTAAAGCATATTTTAGAGCTTCAGAGTCAATACAGGATTTTAGAGAATATGAGGAACTGGATGTTCCTTTAAGGATCAGTAATTTCATGGTGTTTCAGAGTCTCCAGAAGTAACTTGTAATTCTGAACATTTAAGACCTTCTAGTACTCTTTCCTGTTAGGGTTGTTTTTGAGCAACACTTAAACCACTTTTTCAACAAGCCATGGGAGTTTTGTTCAATAACATTGGTTCTAAGCTCGTCTGCTTGTACCACAGATTATATGTTTTTCAAATTGAACTGATGAACTACATAATTATTCTGGTCTTTGGCAACTGAATGATGTTAATGGTTTGTGCTGATTATTAATGAACAGTACATCAGAAAATGGTTCTGGAAAGATGGTAAAAACTTTTTGAAGAACATTTAACTAACATTAGAAAATTCCGTATTGCCAACAGCTGCTGTAGCTGCTGCTTCTTAGATGCGTTCCTCCTACAGACAGAACATTCACAGTAGCCTCAGTTTAAACAACTAACACTTCGCAGTCTGAGCTACTGAAAAGCTGATTTAGCAGCGTATGAAATCCCTGATAACTGTTTTAAGTTAACAGAACAGCCCTAGAACAGCCAGCACTTTTCACTCGTGATTTTCTCAACTTACTGTTAAGTAAGACCCTGACACAATCAATTCCTCCCCCATCAACTAATTTTTTTCTCATCTGAGTACACAGAAGTTTGTGATCCTCTAAAACACAGGAAGAAAATCCTTATGTGATGGGCAGATGAATATCCTCTATAATTTAGTGAGAATATTGCAAAATAACATTACAACACTGGCTCCATGCCAGCGTTGCCAATACTGCAAACTCCGTAAGAGTGTGAGAAACAAGTCTTGAACTGATGTTTACAGATAATGCCCTTTGCATGTGGCCCACATAGTTCTGACTTGGAAAAGGGTGGCAAAGACAAGACACTGCACCACCCAAGGCAAAAAAAAACATAGCAAGTATTTTTTTAAAAAACAACAACTTTTTGAAATAAAACAACTTCACAAAAAATGAAACCCACTATACCCATTCTAAAAACAGGTACATAATGACAGAAGCTTTTCAAACAGGCTTTGAACAAGGTGACAGACAAGAACATCGACATACCAAAACCTCATGTTTCTAGATAATGATTAGACATTCATCAGTTGTTTCCTAAGACATCATCAGTCCTTGATATTTACTGTTATCACACTTTGAACTCAAGACAGTGTCCATGAATATCTTCAATATGGATCAAAACCTAAGAATCCAGTCGAGTGTTATTTTGCACACACTATACCACTGCAATAAAAGACATCTGATGGAAAAGGAACCTTCTGTCTGATCATAAAGTTTCATCTTAACCTCAGCAGTTTCAAACAGAATAGAACATATTCTACAAGTAATCTCCTGGATTGGACACATGCTTTGAAAACTTCCTCAGCCCTGTTACAGTGGAATGTCTGAAGCTACTGTGATGCTTTTGACAGCTTCTCTGTGTAGCAATCAAAAGCTAAGCTTGTGTTCCTCGTTATAACCAAGATGCTCATGAACAGCTAACAACAAGGCTGCTATGGTGTCAAAATCTGAGATTCTGAAATTTTAAAACAGTCGAAGTAAAAATAAACTTTAAATCTGCCCAGTCAGTGTTTTTAGGACACTGAGAAGTATCGTATCAGCCTGAAGAAATTCTATTTTACATTGTCTTTGGAGTTCCAATACATAGGGAGCTAGCTGACAATTCAAAATGTCTTTACCAACTTATGGACACTGTACAACTTGGTTTCATAATCATGACCCAAAGCAACATTTTAATTAGTTCAATAACTGATCCAGTTTTTAAAAGTGGTAACAGAGATGACAAAGATCCTGAGGGATTTCAGCTCAAGAGAATCCATGCACATCTGACACTGATCAATCTTCAAGTTATGAAAGTTTAAACAACTACTCACAATTAATTTGATGTAAAATTTTAGTACTACCTGTATTTCAGAGCATGTCTGCTGAGATGCTTCCCTGTGTTAGCCTTTCTGAAGGGCAATAGTGAAGATTATGGAAAATCCTCATTTTCCTGTAGAGTTCTACTCTCATTTAATCCATCTATCTTTAAAAGGGCTGGAATTTAGTTCAACAGCTCATCTCTTTATTTAGATGTTTAGGATGTTGAAGGTTTGGAACTCTGGTTATTCTTTTTGGTTGGTTGGAGTTTTTAAAATTATTATTTTTAAAAAGGGTTACCTACTCAGAACAGAAGTAATTCAAGTACCATTGCTTTAATGCAAACTCAGCTTTTCAGAGAGTTTCAGCTTCCAAATAGAGAACAAAAAGCATACTCAACTTTCCAGACTCTCTTCCAAACATTGCTTCATTTCCTTCATTCTTCTCCTAAAAGGCCTGTCACAAAATTTCACACCTACAGCTAAATATCTATCTATACCTACATTTGTATGTATGTATGTACCTACATTTATGTATCTCCCCTTTTCAACACCAGTTGCCATTTACTGCAATTTTCAAATCTGTTCTCAAGGCCCAACAAATAAGTCAAATAAACAAGTTTTCCTTCTGTCCTTCTTGCCAAAGTATTTCAGTTATTTAAGTTCCAGGTGTTGGGAGGGTTTGCATCCTTTCCCCACCTTCAGACACCAGCCCATTGGAGAAAAGAAAAATGGGTTTAAATACATTCCAAATTATTTCAGTTCCTGCTTCAGGCCCTAATCTTGACCTCCGTATTTCTGAATGCAAGTAACATCCCTTTTTGTTTTCCTTCACATTCCAGTTTCACAGCATCTGCCAAAACAGCTTTATACTAAACAAATTACTTCATGCTATTTACATGTAACATTTTAAGAAATGCATGGTCTCACGCATGACCATTGCCTGTGGCAACCAGGAAAAAAACTTACTTCTAAAGACATATGAAGCTGTAAGACAGACAAAACTTGTATATGACCGTGCCAAGGAATACTGTGCAAATATTTTGGATGTGAAGTGTTTTACAAAACAGACACTTTTTCAAAAACCCAACAAATTCAGAGTGAACAGAAATACAAGGCTAGAAGTTAGAAGAGAGCAGGTCCTTAAAGACAGATGGATATACAGCTATGCACCCCATGAACCTCTTTACCAACCTGTTCAACTGAGACTTCAAGAAAATATACAAGGGACACTAAAGTTTTGTGTCCTTTTACATAGCTCTATAACCTGCAACAACCACATATAAATACATACACAAAGACTACTCTTCCCATAAACTGATTCTCAGTTGGATCATACTAGAAGTCAGACAAGAAGTAGAGTTCAATCAAGTAATCCACAAAACAGGTTTTTTTCATTAAAATATCAAGTAGCATCAGAGTTCTTATTTTTCAGCTCCTGATAGGTTCCAGAGTTGTCATTCTCCCTGCCTTTAATGCTAAAAGAGAGGGGTTGTATTTGGTATCTCCTTATAAATAAACTTAACAAATGCACACAGAATCAAACAGCACATCTGCCCAAAACTATTAATTCATAAACAAGATTAAGTGTATGACTCAGTTTATCCCAAAGAAAGAGATAATCACACAGTACAGGCTTGAAGACTTTTTTTAGAGGGTGTCTTTACTTTTAATAGCAACTTAATCTACAAATTTCAGTAAATGTGGTTAAGTTCATGGTAGCATTACAGGGGTAAAAAAGTCTACTGCTTATTGTATATTGTAATGTCATGAATTGTAACACAGGCTGCTGTTCATATTCTGATTCTTTCCTTACAGATCAATTATACTAACAACTCAGTCTAGCTATTAACAGCTATCTGTTAAACAACCAGGAAAGCAATAGACCAAGGCACAACTCAAGACAAACCCCACTGATTTTCAAACGTACAATGACATGCCTAAAAGGAGAAAACGCAAAGGGAATCTCCAGAATTTTGGTCCAGAAAATGTAACATTTTCATTTCCAAAATATTTCAAAAATACTTTAGATATAGAAGCCTCAATGATTTATTTGCATTTTGAAGTAACAGACTAAAACTGAAGTCCAGTGCTCACCGGTGATTTAATACAGACAGCTTATGCTCAAAATCTGCCCACGCATCTGAACACTGGACTCAAATGCTTAATTTGTTTAGAAGTGCCACACGACTTGAACAAAGCATTTTAAATTAATCTCAGTGTGAGAATCTCCTAGAGAATACACACTCAAAAATTTGTTTTCTTTTTACAGACAATTAATGAAGATAATGCATAAAGAGCACACCTGAAAAAAGTAGCAAAGCATGCATTTACCTCCTTAGAATCATCAATTCTCTCAAAATAAACGAAAGCAAATCCTCTTGATCGTCCAGTCCGTTGATCATAAACCACATTGACACCAGTCAAAGGTCCATAACGGGAGAAGACCTCACGTAAATCTCTCTCAGTAGTGTACAAACTGAGACCAAACACTCCAAGACAGGTATTAGGATCTGGATTAGCCTGGTAACACAAATATTCAACTCCAATTAATTTTATTTTTAAAAAAATAAAATTAAATATTCTTATATCAAAAATCATCAATTATAAAAAAATAATCTGAAGAAAACTGAACAGGTTAATAACAGCTTAACACTTCAACAGTTATCACTCTAATTATAAGATAATTTCAAAAAAAGCAACTACTTTCAATGGTTTTAATTTTATAAAAAAGACCAAGACAGATTTCTCATGTTGGTAAAAAACTCAGTTGATAAAATTTAAGCATTCTGATCCACAGAAAAGCTACAGAACAAGAGGAACCCATGTTATTAGTATTTCATACTGAAATTACCAAGAAGGGGCACAACAAGGACACCACATAGAAATCTGTGCTGAGAACAGGTCTGCCAGCCTTAACTCCCACCTTCAGCCCTTCTGCATCATAGGCACTATAGAGCAAACACTGCCTCCAGCTGCCCACACTACACGTGAGCACTTGAGCTTCTAAGCACAGACAACTGAACTATTATCCAGTTTCTACTGATACTTCCTCCACCTCAGCATTTCCTATCCAACTACAGTGAAAGTCAATATTTACATTTGTAAGTTAATCTTTCCACTCGTCAACTGGATAAAAGGCACCTGCTTCTTTCATCTAGAGAGCAACATATGTTTAAGGCCAGTACTGTAAAACTGTAATTCAAAAGCATGCATATTTCTTTAGCACAAAACTCTTGACTCTCTAACATTATGTGGGATACTTCATAGGTTTCACTTCAACTAGACAAAGTCAAATATGTAGTAGTACTAGGTACAAGTTCTCTTTTAGGATCAAAATTTCTCTACATGCCAGAGAATTCATAACTAATGCCAAATCCTCTGTAAAAATTATTTTGATCGATCAACATGTTTTTCAGTTCTGTGTCTGGTACCTGCAACACTAGAGACAGCAATTTAAAATACCAGCAACAAGCACAGAGATTTAATGTTTCTCCCAAAATAACAACTGGAAGTTGACACATCTGAAACTGAAACACAAATTTCAGCATTTAAGCATAATAATTTATGCCTCAGAGCCTGCTTTTCAGCCTTATTCAAAGATTGAAAAGGTTTAGATCTCCTGTTGTATGTTTTTTCAGCACATTTGTTCAGGACCCTATTGTGAAAAAAGATGCCCACACTATTAATATATTTGAAGTCCCTTTTTTTCCATTTGTCAAAGTTCAAACTTCTGCTTTAAGACATGAATCTTCTGCAATTCCTCACTATAGTGGAAGAGCAAAAGACCTGGCAGTTTGTAATTCAAAAGTTTTAATTATACACATCAAGATATGTATTTTTTACTCCATATTTCAATCTGATAGTTCAATGGCACTGGCAACTATGCTCATTTTATTACTGAACTTCTGTAAGTATAATGAAAACCGTCTTCTAAATCATTGTTTGGGTAAATTCCTCCACACATCCATACCTGTTGCCCTTTTTTAACATCTCTCTTACGCATAAACCGTATTAATTTTTCTGAGGCAAGAGATGTCCTGAGATCAGTCTGCAGACCTTAAGTGACAAGTGACAACTATACAACCACTGGAAGGCCAAAACTGACTGTGGAGGACTAAAGGACATTTGTATTAGGTTTTTGTACTGCCTCCCATCAACCCAGTATGCAAGCTCTCTCTACAAGAAAGGAAGTGGAAAATTGCTAGCAATTTTCCTGGTGTCATTAGGACCTTGTTATTAAGGGGATTTCAAATCTTGTCTGATTTTAGTTTCATTTTGACACTGTTAGAACTACTCCTTAGAAATACTGAAAAATTCACTGTGAAAACACTTGTAATGTTTCACAAAGTCATTTCCAAAGGCAGAAAAACATCTTCACATAGCAAAGCATCCTAGTATTTCCTAAAGTAGTAAAGTGGATTCTTCTACCTTTCCCCAGAAAGATGACTAACCCTCTTGAAGTTCAGCTATTCCTGCCTATTTTTCAAGTCACTAGATTAATATTTACTTCATCATGATTAGATGCTGGCAACAATCCATAAAAAACTACTATGTACATCTCTTCACCACAGCTTCAGCCACTGCATGCTAGCACTGCTGGAGTCTTGCCTCTTCCCCCTTTTGTCTGCTCCACATTGGTACTAACCTGCTCCTGGTGATCTGCTTCACCAAGATAGGACAGCAAAAAAACTCTGTCTGCTTTTTGAAAGAATTAATAAAAAAATCTGCAGACCAAACCAGATTAAAACTAAAAGGATCAGAAATATATCACTGCCCTCAACAAGGAAAGGGAGAGCTGTGTAGCTGTGTGCAGTGACATTCATTTAGATCAGCCTGGAGTGATGTGAAACAAGAAGCTAAAGCACTGAAACAGGTTAGACAAGAAACTGGAGTGGAGGGCTATGAAGATGATTAGAAGATTGGAGCACTTCCCTTATAATGAAAGGCTCAGAGAGCTGGGCCTGTTTAAATTGGAGAATAGATGACTGAGAGGGCATCTTATCAATGCATACAAATATTTCATGGGCAGGCATCACAAAGATGGGGCCAGACTGCCCTCAGTGTTGCTAAGCAACAGGACAAGGGGCAACAGGCACAAACTGAAACATGGTACATTCCATTTAAAAGGAAAATTTCTTTGAGGTTGTCTGAGCACTGGAACACACTGACCAGAGAGGCTGCCAAGTCTCCTTTTCTAGAGGTGGTCAAAACACACCTGCATGTGATCCTGCAGAACCTGCTCTAGGTGCACCTGCTTTAGGGGGAGCTGGACTAGCTAATTTCCAAAGATCCCTTTCAAGCCCAACCATTCTGCTGTTACAAAGAAGGACACAGAGAAATATCAGAATGTCAAGATTAGTATTTTAGATTTTGATTGGTGTAACTATACTCTCTCCTGCTCATACAGAGACACTTCTCATTTACATTTTGAAAGACTGACTGTACCTCCTTTTCACAACTGTGAATTCTTCTAGTCCACTATAAAGATTTTCATATTACCTAACAGCACAGGGCTTTACTTCAAGGTAAAGCAAATTAAATAATCAGAAGCATAAAGTCACAAGCAACTTGCAACATATTCTCTATAAGCAAATAAACATTTGGGAATTTCTTTCTATGGGTCCCTATGTCAATCTTATCAATACTGTCAGGTTGCCAGCACACACAGACAAGGTCTCATCTTTGTAAAGGGTACATGTACTTGGAACTGTAACAGAAAAAAAGAATCAGAACTGATCAACTTCTAGAGCTGATGGGAGCCCATGTCACTGTATCTGCACACACTGACTTGCAATAGAATGTTTTTCAATTAATTTCCACAACTTCCCTGTCAGTTGCAGGCCCAAGAAATAAGTGCTCAGTTGTAAGGATAGCGACTGCTCCACACATAGCCCCCACTCCCAGCCACTTCCCATATCCTCCAGTGATATAACAGCATGTCAAACTCAGCCTGCAGGTAACCTGGACTACACTGATACAAGCAGCAATTGTTTTGTCGATACTCAGCCCTTTTGAACATTACATACTCTGCTGCCAGTGTGCCTTCTCCTGTTGGACATTGGAGAATGACTACGGCTCCTTCGACGACGGTATTCTGGTGTGTACGATCTGCTTCGAGAACGTCTCCTATGGGAATGAGAATGGGATCTGGACCGCGTGTAACGTCTGTGCGAATGTCTTCTGGACCTGGATCTTCGACAAAGACAAAGCCTTTAGTCAGGTCATGCATATGGTCATACTTTACTGAACTGTAAACAGTACATTTTCTAGAGAACAAACTTTTTTTAGATGACGCCTACAATTAAAGCCATTGGGCCTCTTCTACCTTGCATATCCAAAGATTGCATGGATCTCTAATAACCTGCTTGATAGCACCATTTTTAACTCTTTGAGAGTACTTCTCACATACACTGAGGACTATACTCACGACAGTTTTCAGGAATTTCAGAGTTTAAACTTACATGAGCTTGGCTACTTATCTAACTAACAACTGTACAGTGACACAGAGACTAGATATGCCACACTGAAAGGGACCGTTTTGACTGAAAAATTGAAAAATCTGGCAGGACTTCAGTGCTTCAATATCTACAAGCAAAGACTGTCCAGGCAAGAAAATTACTCCAGACCCAAAAAACAAAACAAAACAAAAACCCAAAAAAAAACTCATACGCAAAACAGAAAATACCTGCTCTACTCCTCAAGCACTTCTTTGCAAACATCTTGCTGACAATAAGCTGTTTAAAACAGGTAATCATCTGGCTAGACATTGCAAGAAGAGAAATTGTAATATTAGCTGAACTTCGGCAAATTCAGAGCACAGCAACTCTTTCAGTTGCTCTGGTATAAAGCATATAAATAAAAAAGATGTATTACTGAACTCTCCCAAGAACTGGGAAGGAGAAACAACGTAAGACTATTCCTTTTTCCCCTCTAGTGCTACAAATGCGGTCTTCTGGTTTCTCTCTTGGTTATTAGATTTGGTAGCTCTCTCCATTTTCATCAATATGTTGGTAAAAGGGAATAAAGAAGACAGGTAGTATAAACCAGGTAATACTTATGGCACATTTAGAGAAAAAAACCCAAGACATTCTCTTCTGATCTGTGCAAGCTCCATCAGAACCAAGAGCTACAAAGCTTTATCTCCACAAATCCATACTTGGGGTAGAGAAGTACAGTGAAAGACATGTGAAGCATTGAAAAATTAATTCAAATCTCAAAACTCTCATAAATCAAGAACCTATCCACACCCAATTTAAGACATAGTTTTTGATTATATTTTTAAAGCCTCCAATGAAAGAATGTCAAGAACATTCACACATACTGTTTTTCCCGTATTTCCAACAATTAGACAGCTTACACTTCTTATCTAACCCTGATGCCTTTGCACCAGGTCTCACCTGACTTGGTTTTTTCCCCTTAAAGGAAAGGTCCACAAAAGAATTCCCCCATAAACAGTTCTGGGAGAAGGAAGCAGGAGCTCCACAGAACAGAAATGCAATTCATTCTCTCTCTTCTGGAAGAGACAAACCTACATATTTCAGTTGTGAGTTCTACATTACTACTTCTAATTATAGTATTCTCTCTATTCATACCCATTAAATAATTTCCCATCTTTGTCCACCTATATGAGCACAAACAGGCAAATTAACATATCCCTGTTAATACATTCCAAAAAGTTTATCATTTTACAACAGAGGAAAAGAAATTTCATCAACCTACTAAAATAACAGTAACATTGAGCTGACATCAATAACTTTCTGAACATACCTTGACTTTGATCTTGACCTAGAGTGCGATTCAGAATGTTTGGAAGCCCTCGACGGACTGCGAGATCCTGACCTGCTCTCTGATTTTACACGAGCAGGACTCCCAGCTGGAGATTTTGACTGGGAGCGAGACTCCTAACAAAAAAGACAGTATTAAAAATGGTATTGGTTGTGTAAATGCCTAACTCCTAACATTTAAAGTACAGTAATTCTATTATATTGATTGCTCCTGAAAAATAAATGGTTAGGCAATACCCTCCAAAACAAATTTCATTTTGCTAACCCACTGTTAATATTGTATGCTTGCCTCAAATAGGTCCCTGCTTGAACCAGATCACCAATTCGCTATTAACTAAGTAATCATGCAAATTCATCTACAACTTGATCATACAGACACTGGAACATAAACCATACATTTACTTAACCTAGGACCCATTCATTCTTCCAGATTCTTTTAATTCTACTTCACTCTTGCTTTCTACTTTTCTTCATTCTTCATTGAGTTTTTCATTTTTCATACTTCGTGTATTCTTCCCCAATTCAAACAATTCATTATAGCCTTAAAAAAATATTCAAGTGCTTCTATCTGACCAATCTTCTGTTCAATTTTTTCCCCCATTCAATTTTAATTTTCTGATCTTTAATACTTTTCATTAGCCTTCTTTTATCTTGATTTATCTTCCACATTCTTGGAAAAAACTCTTCAATTTCTTCACGAACATTAACCTTAATGGAAAAAGAACATTTAGTATATTTAAGCACGTGGGGATTATAAAACTCTGCTGGAGTTCAGATGTTATCTACCAAATTGAAAAGCCAGCAGGTAAAGTGCAAGAAACTATTTTATAAAACAACTTTTTTAAAAAATATCTTTAAAACTGTATAAGTGTCTATGTTCTAACAATAAGCTTACTGAGTTCTCAGTGTTTTACTGTATTTGCAAAGCTACCCTCCTCCCCTCTGAGATTTTTTTGGTAAGATACATAGATACACTAAAAACTAATTAGCACAAATATATTCAAGTATTAGTATCAGTGATTCCCCCCCCTAAAATAATAACTATGTGCTTCTCAGTATCGAATATCCCAAATTTTACTCCTACAGATTACTAAGACACTCAGTTCAACAGAATGGCCAAAGACTTCCACTCAAAACCTATCTATGCACATACTTACTCGCATAATACATGCACACAGGTATAAGCAACATAAATTATTATTCTTGCTAGTTTTTCTTCCTCATTGTTATCCTGTTTTCCTTATATAATCCATATAAACTAAGATGTAGAATCATATAGTTAAAGCAATCCAATAGAAGTAAAAACAGGGAAGGGTTTTTTTCTTGCATGGTAAGGCACACAAGAGAAAAACTAGGAAAACAAGCAAACAAAGAGCAGGTTAAGATATCCTCACATTTTAAGATATCCTCACATTTTATAGTGTACAGCATTTCTAGGGAGCTTAGCTATAAAAATCCCTACAGAATAGTATGCTATATACATTTGCAACTTCACAAAATACTTAATAAAAAAAATGCATAGCAAGTTCCCCTCACAAAGACATTACATTTCATGTTTATTTGCATGATTTCTCCTCCTGACTGTCCTCAAAATTTCTTCTCTTTCTTACTCTACCTATGTCCAGATTTGCATTTTATTTTGCAGTTAAAAGTCTTCATTACTTTGTGCTGGAGTTCCTTTTCAAAGGATGCTGTTCTCCTCTTTCAAGACAGTAAATTCACCAGAAATGGAACCTGAGAGGCTCCTTACGAACAACTATTAGAGCCACACTACCATTCCCTTTTACCTCGATAAAAAGGATGAAGGATTCACAGAGAACGTCACCTACTAGGATGATAGGCCTGCCAAACTTTAACAATGAAGGCCAGATTCAAAGCTTGGCTGTGAAAGGCAGACCATGTAATCGGGTCTGCCTAACATGTTATCCTTATGAAGATGGCCATGTTCTGAGCTAACTACAGGACTTCAATGAAATAAATTATGTGCATGCCTTTAAATATTACCAATTTGTTGTTTTGACATTTGAAATCCACTGTTTATAATAAAGAAACATTTATCTTATAATCACTAACACAATTTTTTTATCACCTCGCCTCTGTCTTTGTACTGTTCAATGTTTGACAGCCTCCTAAATTCTTCTCTTTATAACTCATCCCTTGCAACAATTGCCAGTTTCTCTGGGAACTATTTGTATTTCTCTCCCTAGTAAAAATCATCAGTAATAAAGAAAAACATTCAACGTGACATGAGATTTAGAAAACACCTGTAAAAAGACAAAGAATTCACCCTCCTCAGACACTCTTCCTTCATAAGGATACTGCATTGTCCATACTTTTTACATCTGAAGGATCAATTCCTGAACAAGAATTCTGGAAACTTGAACAAAGGCAACCCCCCCACCCTCCCGATCCTGCAAAATCTGGAAGTATTGGGAGATGCCAAAAATACCATGGACCAAATTGCTCCCATACAATGTTGAAGTCAGTTTAGTTCTTAGTTATTCAAGTGAAGCATCTTACAATACCACCCACAGAGCCTTTAATAATACCAGCTAAGACACCGAATCTGTATAAAGTTGACAAAAGCAAATATAATATAATTTAATATGGGTTAAGTCCTTTTGGAAATATCTGTTTAAGACCTTTAGGGGCAGTATTCACAAACATACAACTTGAAAACTGCAGTGATAGAGGGGACCATGTAAATTCTTAGAGATTTCAAACTTCCTCAACCAAGTAACTGTAGATGTGAACTGCAGCTGAAGAGAGATTACCTGATAGCAGTTGCACATTGGCATTGGCAAGCAAGTACATCTCATCTTCTGATGCAGCATAGTTCACCCAGTTACAACTCCTACAATGCTTCCTTCTAAAGGAGACTAAGGGAATCACAATAACCTGCAAAAGTTTAAGGACTTAAGGATGATGCTGAAAAAGTACCTAGTAGTATTTGTATCAGCAAGACTACAGGCAGGGATTAAGGGATTCAAGGAGATACAAGGGGAGACTTCAAAGAATTTTTCTCCTCTACTTCCCACTGTAATTAAACAATTAGCGAGCTGTATATTAGTCCACACCATAGACCAACGCAATCGTTCTTCATGAATTATTTATATCCATTCTGCAATATGTATGACAGAAGTACTCAACATTCTTAGTGTATCATCTCTAATGTAAGAAACCAGACAACTCTACTACCCCAAAGCACTAAAATACCTCAATTTTGTACCGGTCTTAAAGGAATGTATGCATTCTCAGCTGTTCTTACCACAAAAACTAAATATTGTGTGGAAGAGGAAAGACTAAAATTGCACTTTGGATCCTCAGAACTTTTTTATCTTCCTGTTTTAAAGATCCCCAGACATTTACGGGCCAGAGACTAGACTCAGCTTAAACTCAGCTCCTCATCCCACCAGCTTCCAACTAAACAGTACCTATCTTAATGCCTTGGGCTTCATTATGCAGCTGTCCAGTCACTACTTTCATCTTTACAAACTTGTAGGCAGATAATTCACTATCCCCATTTCAAACTATCTATATTTGCTGTCACTAGAGCCTGCAGGAAAAGAAACAGAGCTTTGTAATATTCTTCAGATCAAACTTCCCTTTCACAACAAATCCTGCATCTGCCAATAATACTTTTGCCAGCAAACACCTCTCCCCAAAACACCCACCCACCCACATAAAAAACATACACCCTTCCCTCCCCAAACAAATACCAAAAAAACCCAACTCAATTGTAACAGTGTGCTTCTTCAGAGTCAGATGTAGTGGTTTCCTCAAAACACACCAGGAAAGGGAACTAATGATTCACCAAGAATTGCAACTTAGATACAAAATCATAGACAAAACACAAAATCTATGGTTTCAGCTTACTGATTCTCTGGATAAAATGCACAGCTAGAAGCATTTAAAGAGAGCACCGATGAGTATTTTTTATCCTTGTTACCTTCTTTCTTCCCAGGAAGAGTTACAAACCAAAGTGATATGGAAAAGATCTCTCCTCCTCTCCCATTACTCCACAATCATACACACCCAGACAGTGAACAACTATCAACAATGTTAATGATCCATTTGAGCCAGGCATCAGTCAGTCCATGTATTTCATCCAAACTGTTTAACTGATCCAAAAGTTCCATCTAACACTTAAATTCCTTGAATTTTTTCAAAAGAAATCCTATTTTCCAATGTAATTACTATTTTAAAAGCATTTAAAACACTTTTATGCAGAGGAGAACTCAGATGTCTTGAAGAGGTATTCTTTCTATTTTCCACCCATCAAGAGAATGTATGATAAAGAACATGGAGGGGGAACCACAACAAAACAAACTGACCAACCAACCAACATTCCCATCAAACCAACCCCCTGTTTTTCAGACTGCTCTTCTGTCCTGAACTTGTCATGCCTTTACCTAACTCTCACCTTACAATTTCAGAGTATGACTGAAAGGCTATCAAAATTTAAAGTGAGATGCTAACTGAAAAATAACAATGTAAATTTAAATTAAGCTTTCTATAGCAAAGCAAGGGAAATGAAAAAATACCCAAACCATTAAAGCACACAGAAATTTCAGGTGAAATTAATTTGATCTGGGGTGAAAAAAAGGACAGGATAAATGGTCTTGCAAGACCATTTCCAAAAATCCTGTTAAAAACTCGTACCCAAACTAAAAAAAAAACCAAACAAACAACCAAACAAAAATGAAGTCAAACTGTATTAAAAAGGGACAGAAAAATATAAGCAGTCAAAAAAGAAACATGAATTTAGCAGCAGCCCACATTTGCTGGATAAAACTGTTAAGCTACTGACATCTCACTTATGAGGACAAGATCACACTTTGGCAGCAATCTACCAACTTTCCTTGAAACTCACAAGAGAAGTTAAATCCTTTTTGCTTAATACAGTGTTCCATCCCTATACTAAAAATAAAATGAATCCCTTAATTAGCTACTCTTCTATAAATGTTACAATAGTACACATAATAAGCTGTTGTATAAAAAGTATTGCATAAATTGTTACCTTGAAGACATGGGTATTTTAAAAGCTACTAACACAAGCAAACTATGTATTCCTCAATGATTCCCCCTTATGAAAACAAAGAAAAAAAAGAAGCTTCAACAATAAACTATTTGGAATTACAAGTTAATCTTCTCACTGAAGGAAGGGTTCTGTAGTCATTCCTCTGTCACACATGGAAGACAGTAAAGAGAATTTGTGTTCAAAAGGAGCAGTCCTCCCAGCTGACAAGGTCCAGAACAACGCAGAATATATTAAGTTTGATTAAAGCAACAAAAAATAAAAATTGGACTTCCAGAAAAACTTCCACACTGGTCATTAAACACTGCAGGGTGATCACAGCACCCTCCGAGTGAGTGCAGAATCCCTGAGCATTAGCAGTCCATTGTGCTTGTGTTTGAAAAGGTGTGGGAAGCAACATTCCTTCTTTTCTGTAGAGGTGGCAGACTGCCACTGCCAGAGAGATGGAAGAGCTAAGCAAGCCCGACCCTGACACTGCTGGGGTTTTTATTGCCAAAGAAATCAATTTAAAGTTCATCAGTTAGGTAATTCCATACTTGTTTAAGTATTTTGCATCCAAACTTCATGAAGCAAATATAAGGCACTTGCACAGCTAAACTAACCCAAAACCAACTTGTGTACCTATGAAATATACATATTTCCTTCAATAAGATAGGCCTCGTGCAAAATCCATTTGAAAATCCATTTATTGAAATGTTTCATTAGATTATGCTATTTATGTCACTAAGATCCTGCATAGTGCAGGATCATTTAGAATGAAAATAACAAATATAGAGTTGTAAAATGGAATTTTGCCTTTGTTCTGATAAAAGTTTTTGCCTATTTAGACAAAACAACATATTAATACTGGTGGAAAACGACAAAACTGTTAAGATTGCAGAAATAAAATGTTACCAGAAGCTCAAAAAGAAAAAAAAAACCCGTCAAAGTATCAAGTTGAGCTACTGAAGTGCAGGTCTGTTCAGACTCCCTTTTGTCCATTGCTCTGGGAAACATCTAAAGTTGCACCACAGACTGAACACCAAACAAACAATAGCCTATAAAAATAAGAAAAAATATGAAAGGAAGTAAGTGTTTCCTGATATCTGACAGAAATAAAAGATAAAAAAGGCCTCATTTGTCTAATCTGCTCACAAAAATCTTTCAATGATGACAAAATACTTGATGTTTGCAAAACCAAGTTGCTAGATAAGAAGCACAATTTAATATATTTTTTATTCTTAATGTCTATAAACTTAGCTCTAGCATATCCACTATATTTTTAATTCTTCTGTCAATTTCTTTCCATTAAATCATCATGCTTGAGGAGGGGGCTTTCTTCTGTTCAATCAGCCACATTCTTAATAGAGAGCTTGCTTAAGTTGAAACAAAATGATACAAAAACAGAGCAGACAGATATTGATTACTCCGAGCATATTCTATTAACATTTGCTTTTAAAAAAAAGTGCAAAGCAATGAGCTGAAGAAAGAAAGGCCCTACAGTGATTTTATGCAATACTTTAGAAATTGAAGTTTTTGAAAGTGCAAGCTAAGCTATTTCATTGGGAAGTTATTTCCATAATTATTAATTTCCTGTTCAGATTAGTTAACATGATTTTAAAATCATAAATTAGAGACAAAGCACACACAGTATCTTACTGTTGATAAAATTAGCATTTTAAAAAATGATGCTCATCCTCAACTTTCGCTGAAGCGCTTTTAGGACAATAAGCATCTACACAAATATAAAAGGCCTTAAACTAAAAACTCCCTTACTCCTTTAGCATTCAGTTTTTAAAAGCACATCACACTAATTAGCACTTAAACTGAGAGGGGGTGGAAGAATTGAAAGGGTACTCAGAATTGTTGTTTGTGCCAAATTCCACAAAAACAGGTTCTTTACAAACTTTCTTCCAGATTCTGCAGTTCTTTCTCCCAGTGAAAACTTCTGCTTTACTTTCAGTGCTCCATGCCGGGATGTAGCAAACATCAGGACATTCAGTGCGTGATAGAGTCCTATCCATCTGGGAATAGCAGATTGAACACTACAGCCTCAAAATTACATGTACTTAATTTTATGTTTGTGTGCACTTTCATTTGAAAATGAAATATAAAACATTAGTCTGAAATATAATTTCTTATTTCGAAAAATTTAGTACCATCACAACAAAGCAGTATTACTGAAGATGGAAAGAAAAAAAAAAAAAAAAAAGGCTTACAAATGTTCTTCAGTAGAACTACAAAATCCTCAACTAGAAATCTATGAAGTACCTGCCATTATGCTCAGTTATGCCATATCGATTGAAAAATTTCAGTGCAGGGAGCAAAAACAAAAGTAGTTTTCCAAATGAAGACTCAACAGAGTCAGCAGTTCTTTCCAACAGGTAAATATTCCATCACAAAAAAAAAGGAACAACTGATAAGCCGAAGTCAGAGAAACTGGTACTGCAGGACTTTTCAGACTTCAGGTACTCTCAAAACATTTTACTTCTACCTTTGGCAGGCGGTAGTGTGCAGAAATACTGAAAGTACAGAGCTGTAACAGCTTTGTAACATAAACAACAGATCCATCAAAGATCCCAATACCAATGTTCTGACAATCAACCTAATTTCTTTCCTAGCAATTACCCACATGGTGAATACAGACAATAAAATAATCCTTAATATAAATCTTGACTGTAAAATGGAAGATTAACATTATCCTATAAAAAGAGAAAAAAAAACCAAAAACCAAGCATTCTCATTGCTTAAGTTTCTGAAACTTAGTTGTTTCCCCTGCAGAGATCTGTTTATTTACCCCAGTATTGCTTAGCTACGCAACCACCTTTTGTCCAAGCAATCAACACAAGAGCAGGTTTTGTTTACCTCACTCAAAGAAGCAGCAGCAGTTATTGCATAGGTAGGTAAAGAACTTGCAGCCTATGAATTTGTTTTTTAATCACCACAAAAATGGCAACAATAGTCATGTAAAATAAATTTTTGGAAGGTAATGCCATTATTTCAAGATTTTATTGCCTGTTTCCCCAGACAGTAACTACATATGTACTGCAAAGCTGCTGTCACTAGATCATCAGAGAGAGCCACCAAGAGGATGCTCAGGTGTTCCTCTAAAGAATCTCTTAAAAGCACAAACAAAAAGAAAAAAAAGAAAACCTCTGCAAATTAAAAAAAAAAATTCTTGTGTAAATTGCGATGGAGGAGCACACATTTCGTTCCTGTTTCAAGCAGCTACCAATTCTTGCTTGCCTTGATCATTACTAACAAAACCCAAAACAAAAACAAAACCACAAAAACACTGAAAATGGAAGGGACCTGTCACACGTGTACATGAAAACCCGCAGCCATCAGACGGAATACACAGGCCTAACGAGGTTACAAAGCCACAGCAGCTCGTTCGAAGCCTTCAGCTGCACGATCGATGACTTTCAATGGTTTAATAACGACGGCCGGACCTCCCCAGTGGCCGGAGGAGGCCCGGCCCGCGGCAGCTCCTGAGCCGGGAGAGACCGCGCACCTCGCACAAAAGGACGCGGGGTCCCTCCTCTTTCGGGCGGGAGGAGGCCCCGGCGGCCCGGCCGCGGCCGGGGAAGCGGGAACGGGCAAGACAGGGACCTCCGGGCCCGGCGGCAACAAGGCGGCTCGGGACCGCGGGAAGAAAGCAGAGCAGCGGGGAGGAACACCGGGGCTACGGCAGCGCCGTTTGCACAGGATCAGCCTGCGCTGGCTGGGCGGGGGCCGAGCCGCAGCACCGGGACCCGGCGCCCGCACCCCACCGGGCCGATGGGAGCGGGGAGCGTGAGGGAGAGACGCGGGCAGCGGAGAGGGACGCGGGCCGTCACCCACGGCCCAAGCAAGCCTCGGGCACCCGAAGGAGCCATTTTAGAGCCAAGCTGCACTGCCCCCACCCCCGCTAGGCCCGAGGACGCCAAGTGCCGCCACCCACCGCCCCCCGGTCCGATGCCCCTCTCGACACGGCCCGCACAGGGGAGGCCACTCACCCTCCCCTCGAAGTTGTTCTCCTCCACGTCGCTCATATCGGCAGAGTCCTGGCCACGGGGCTGGGGCGAACGGGGGACGCTAGTCCCGATTAGCAGCAGCAACACCCACGGCCACTGTTATCGCCGCCGTTACCGCTATTGCCGCTATTACCGGCACCACCACCGCCACCTCCCGCCCGCGCCTCCCGCACCGCCGCAAAATGGCGCCGCCGCGGCCGCTCCGTCTGCGCCCGGCACCGCGCTCGGGGCGGGGCCGCGCCCGCCCCTCACAAAGGAGGCGACGAACGCTGCGGGGAGACCCGCCGCGCATGCGCGCCGCCGCCGCCCCGGGAGCGCGCCCGGGCCGCAGCGGGAACGAGCGCGCTGCTCCCCGGCCCGGCCCCGCCCCGCCAGGTGTGGGGGTGCTGTTGCTGCTGCTGCGAAATTGGAATATGTAAACAAATATCCTTTGAAAGGATGTTTTTTGATGTCTGATATTTGTGAGCTTTCAACCTAATCAGTAAGAAGGGAGATTTGATCCCTAAAAGAGACAGCTGAGAAGCAAGCACTAAGTGATGTCCAGGCGTTAAAAAGACAAGTTAGCCGTCGATAGAATTGCCTTGTGAAGGTTCAGAGCTGGACACGTTTCAGTGATATCCCACCTAGGGGGAGGTTAACAAAGCTTGGGAAGAAGGATGTACCGCTGATAGTAGACACAATGAATGCAGAATTCATGGGCCACAAGGACATTTGGCAGAACTCCCACGATAAGGAAAAAAATATTAAAGACAACTTGGCGACTGTGCTGAAGCAGCTCTGACTGGGTAAAAGGTAATTCCGGCAGGGGGAGATCTGTGACCGACTCACGGACCACCGACTCAAGAAACCCACCGACTCAAAAGAAGAGAAAGACTAAGCATGCAGGCTAGTTAGCCAGAGAAGTGAGATAATAATTAACCAATAGAATATAGAAAACTAATTAAGAGAACGAGTTAACTTGTAGCCAGTGAACATTGGCGCCTTTGTTTGCTAAAATGTATAAACAATTTCGGGAGTCATGGTGAAGGCTTTGTGGATTTCCTACCGGGCGCCCCTTTGTGCGCAGAGCTGTCAATAAATCAAGTACCTCGACTCTGTGTGTGTGGAGTGGCCTTTTGCACACTGGCTGAAAGGAACTTATTTCTGGACAGCCCCATACCCCTCCTGCCACTCCACGCACAAAGGCCTCCTCCCGTCTCCTACGAGGACTGCTCTTGAATGTGTTTATGCAATCATATGAATTTGTATGGGTCCGTGTTTTGTTATGGCAAGAGGATATTTAATATGCAGCACTGGAGGGCTGCTTTTATTGTACACACATGGAGGCAAAGTCACAGGATCCGGTCTTGTGAGCTTCTACGAAACGCCTAAATTTTGTCTTTATGAGAATTGCATTTGAGCCATGATTTTGCTGAAAGCTTTATCCTTTCTGCTCAGTCACCACAGAAAGATTTCCCCGATCCTGGATCCTGTGCAGTTTTGGTGCTTCCTCCTCTAGCAATGCACCAATAGCTGTAGCAGCTGGTATCTTGCAGGCATTTCAGACCAGGTATGTAGTTCCTTAAGTCAGAAAATTTCCCAAGATGAGGAAACAGCTAAACTTGCTCTGTCAGTGCAGGAAAGCACTGGGTTCACAATAGGTGGTTTGTCCCAGTGGAGACGTCACAGGAGCACTGGTAGCCAGTGGTCACCACAGCTTGAGCTTCTAACAGAGCCTTGACATACACTCTTCTTTACAGGAATAGTTCTGTTTCTTCCTACCTGGACCATAAATTATGTTATTTTGTGCTTCTGTTGTAAAGGGAATGCTGGAACTGTATGCCAGCCCTTGCTCTTTTTCCTTGGTGATTCAGAAGGAAATAATTGACTAACGAGTAAATTACCTTGCAGTGGTAAAGAAGGCGGTATTGAGGAAAAGTCTTCCTTGTCATCTAGGTCTGCAAAATATTTAATTTTGTGTAAAAGTTTCTTGCAGGTCACTTAAAAAGTTTCAGTCAATTCTTTAGTCAGTTCCTGTTTAATTACAATTAAATTTTCATTCCTAGGAGGCTGGCCTGAGATTTAGCCTCTGCTGATGTCTCACTTTCCAAAACCAATTCTGAATCCATGTCATAATCTGCCTTTTATAGCAGCTCTACTCTGTTCAGCTCTGGTAGATGGATTTGTTCATCTCCCTTTTCAAATGTAACTTTATTAGTAAAGTACTTATTCTGCAAGATCACATACTGTTCTGGCATATTCTGATCCTGTTGCCTATATTCTAACTACGGGAACAAAAAGGAATGAGCATGAAGGACATGCTTAAATTCTGAGATGAAAATACTAATCAGTCTTCTACCATAGAATGGATCACAGGAAAAAATGGAGTATGTAGGACCCACTGAAAATACATAATGGTTGCACTAAAAAAAACTACCAAAACAAAACCAAGCAGGGGAGGGAGGGAAAGGTCAGGAGAATAAAGGACAGGAATACACTTTTTGTTAACATGTACATGTATGAGATCTAGCTATAGGTCACATTGCGATTTCAGTTCCTGAAAGTTAGACTAGGTCTGATGCACACATTCAAGACATTTGCATTATTCCAGCAGAATTTTTTCATTTCTGTGATCCTAAAATGTTCTGGCAATTAAATGTAAAATGAAAATGGAAGTTGCTGATAAAAATACCTATTTTTCAAAAATCTAATCAATTTTACATTTTGAACTGGAAACTACAAGCTGCCTTCACCATTTTTTCCATAACTTACCTGCCTTCATTGTTCTCCGCGATGACTTCACTGTAGTTTCCTGGACCATAAAGACAATAATTATTTTATTATATTTCAGTTTACACTAGTTAATTACTAAGACTACAAGGTTTATCTGGGTCTTTGGGAGTGTCTCTCCTAAATGGAAGATGATTTTAACACAGAAAACATCTAGACATGGCCTAAAGGATACACTAACATGACATAAGTACATGTTTTCAAGCATGCCTTATAGAGGTTTCTCAAGAAATATTAATACAGTAGTTTAATACAGTGTTAGCTTTAATGCAGTAGTAAGTAAGAGTATTCAAAAATTTTGGGAAAAAATGTATTTCTGGGGGAAAGATAGGCCCATATCAGGTCCATTCCCTAAAATGAAAGGGTATAAACCACTGGTAAAGGATCAGGAAGAGGGAAAAATAGTAGTGGCAGTAAGGCAAGTACAAAGTTGAATGTATTCTTATCTGCATATACAGATTATAGGATTAACTGGTTAAGTGAGGAGGTAGAAGCTATGCTAATCACAGAGCATATTGATTAGTGTGCTGTTCTCTAGCCATTACCACTAAGCAGTTTAAATATATTAGGAGAGGAAATTCATAGTACATATTTGAAAAGGACAGAGCAATAGCTGTGCAAATTAAATTTGAAAGGTCTACAGATGATTGGCAGGAGAGGAATGAAATAATGTTGCAGCAACAATCTAATTCTGGTTTTTGATTATTTGTTTGGTTTTTTTTTGACAAATAATACAGAACACTGCAACATACCTGCAGTCCTAGGCTTTTATCTGCCCTTGAAATTATACCAAGAATATTGTTACCCACAAATATAAGGGCTATATAAATCCTTTTAAGGTTTGATTTTCATATGTCACTGAAGAGAAACATGGTGCTTGATACTATTTTGTCATGAAGTTTTTTACCACACATCTCAGATTCATCATCTAGCACCTGCCAACAGTTTTGTCTGTATACTTAGGTCTGGGTCATTAACCACTCTGATGTATCAATATTCCTTTTTGTAGAACAGCATAGCACTTAAATGACGATTTGTCCTGCATCTGACCTGTGCAGAATATGAAGGTTGAAAAGCAGGGAGAAGCCAGATGGCCTCTGATGTGTGCTGGAAGGGAGACACATGCTGAAGGGATTGAGATAAGGTGACCAACAGGTACTTCTGAATGCTATCAAGTCCGCAGCTGTTGAACGTGTTCTTTACTTTGCCCTTATGTTCACCTTTCCTTAACTGATACTAACTTACTTCCTTCAAACAGCGCCTTGCAGGAAGAGCCTGGGGTGCCTCTCTAGCACAGTGCTGCATTCACTATGAATTTTATTTAGGCAATCATCACGGGTGCGGGGCGGGGAGGAAGGTTAATAACACCTCATCTACAAACAATCAGAGAATTGTTAGGGTTGGTTTGAAGGGACCTCTGGAGATCCCCTAGTCCAACCCCCAGCCAAGGCAGGGTCACCTTGAGCAGGTGACACAGGAACGAGTCCAACTGGGTTTTGAATGTCTCCAGAGGGGGAGACCCCATGACCTCCCTGGGCAGCCTGTTCCAGTGCTCTGCCATCCTCAACACGAAGAATTTCTTCCTCATGTTGAGGTGGAACTTCTTGTGTTTTAGTTCACGGCCTTCGCTCGCCATCCCGTCTCGGGGCACCACCAAAAAGTCTGGCACAATCCTCTTGGCACTCGCCTTTGAGATATTTAAATGCACCGATGAGACCCTCGTCTCAGTCTTTTCTGGACTAAACATGCTCAGTCCCGTCCCGCTGCCCAGAGCACAGACGAGGTCGAATTCCTCGCAGAGCCGCGGGGCGCGGCGCCCGTCCCCTCACGCCGCTGCCGCAACTCCCTCCCGCCGCTGGGGGGCGCTCGCGGCGCCGGCCGGGCGGGGGGCGCGCGCTGCGGCGGGGGCGGGGCTTCGGGCGCGCGGCGCGGGCGGAAGCGGCGCGCGGGCGCGGGCAGGGAGGAGGCGGCGGCGGAGGCGGCAGCGAGCGCAGGTAGCGCGGGGCGGCCGGCGGGGGGCGCTGCGCGGGGGGCGCCCCCGCCCCGGCAGAGCCTCAGAGCCGCGCCCTCGGCCGGGGCGGCGGGAGCGTGGGGGGAGGCCCGTCCATCCGTCCATCGACCCGCTCGTCCGTCCGTGCCGTGTTTTCACGGGGGAACGGCTGGGGGTGGCGCACGCTCGGGCGGGACCGGGATGGCGCAGGGCGGCTGCGGCTCTCCCGCACACGCGGGTCCGCACCGCGCCTGAGCGGCCGCGTTGGTCCGCCCCTCCTTCGGGAGTTGCGGGACAGGCTCGTCTTCCTTCGGGCTTCCTTGCCGGCTGGTCCCCGTACCTGCGCGGCTGTCGAGGCGGCTGCGGCGCTGTCACTGCGGGCCCCGCCGAGGCGCGGTGAGTTGTGCTGGGCTTCCTGCGGCCGCGATCTGTGTCCCAGGGCTGTGATGCAGTGTCCTTGGGTGGCGAGGAAGCGCTGGAGCAAACGAGGGTGTTCTGGTTTCCTTCACCTCTAGCGGTGGTCTTCCAGTCTTAAG